TAAAACTCTACATGTCCTTTCTGTATGTATAACTTATCAGCATACTAAGAGTACTCCCAGTAACTTACTATTGCACCAAGAATCAAACAAGGATAAAACAGAAAACTATTAAATGAAGAAAATGCCCAGAAAACCTTCAAATGGAAGAAAATAAAAAAGAGAATTAAGTAGAATACAGGGCATTCAGGTGTATGTAGACCAATGCACATAATAAGGGTAGCAATCAATGAAAATGAAAATGTAAATGTACATTATACTAGGGTTAGCATTACCTCAATATTCTGAGATTTGTAGAACATGTTCCATGATAAGACTACAGCAATGAAAGTATATTACTTCTTGTACAAAACAGGTCTAATAGGAGTGTGTGGGCATGGGGAGTTGTGGGGGGAGAAGGAGAGCATGGAGGGAATATAAGAGAATGATATACCACCAGGAAAGATATCTGTAAATCTGAAGCTCAAAGCTCTTTGTATTGGTTTTAAAGGAAGGTACGCTGGACCGTCCAATTAAGCACTTTGCTTTGGCTTCTGACATTCCCTTTCTTCTAGCTGATCTATCTTATGACTTCCCTCAAATATCCTCTTCTCTGCCATTCCCTAAGGCTGGTATCACATAAGACCTCTAGGCTCTGCTCTCATCTACATCTATGAATTTCCTCATTGATTGCTTTCATTTCCACATCTCTTTCTTCCTCCTGTAAACAGGTGATTCTTAGAGCTATAACTTCTGCCTTCACCAGTTTGGCTCAGTGGATAGAACATCCCAGGTTCGATTCCGGTCAAGGGCATATACCTTGATTTGTGGGCACATTTGAGGTTGATGTTTCTCTTTCATCTCTTTCTAACTCTTATTCCTCTCCCTTCCTCTCTGTAAAATATCAATAAAATATATATATTTTTAAAAGCTATAACTTCCACCTGATATCTCTTCTAAACCTCTATCTCCGTCTTCTCAGTAGGTCATAGATACTTCAAGCATTTTTAAACTGAAACTAGATACCATTCCCATAACATGTGACCCTTTACTTCCTACAGTCTTTATTTTATTTAATAGCATTGCGACCAACTTGGTTAGAAACCTCTCTCCTGATTCTATCTATCTGCCTTATAATTTCTTTCAAGCCTAGTTCTAAAATGTCTTTATTAGCTAAATGTTTTCTTTACTAAAGTGACTTTTCATTTTCCCCCCTATCATCTCTTGACTTTCCTCTTGTGATAGCCTTTCTGACCAGTTTATTTGCCTCTAGTCTCCACCTGCCCTCCTTACCTGCCTTTCTAATCCATCTTCCCCCACCACTAGTCCTGGCCATGAGATAAAGGAAAGCCTAGGTAGGGTTAGGGTGATCACATCCTGGAATTATTATAGAAGACATATGCACACTGGATGAGAAGTCAACCTCATAATCTCTAAGGCTGGGTTGCCAACCAAGGACCAATTATACAGTCATTGAGCTTGCTTATTCAAACTAAGATTTCTGTATCTCATCCCAAAAGTATTGACTCAAAATCTCCTGAGTTTAGACTCTGGAATTGTACTTTTGTAGGCTCTACAATAAGTGTGATGAACATCCAGTTTTGGAAACTCTAAGATCTTATCCAATTATAAGACTCAGTGATTATAACACTCTAATCAGAATCCAATTTGCTATTCCAAGAAAATAGTTACCAAAGTCTTTTGTGCAATGGCAGCATCATTAAACAAAACATAAAGCCTTCAGAGTGCACATTTAGTGAAAAAAAGCATTCATTTGAATGTATACATTCTGGAACATTTGTGAAAATTATATCACATGAGAAGCATGCTTTATGCACATTTCTTCCTACACATATATCTAATGGATTTTTCTTTAGTTTCACAAATAATGCTAATTAGTTGCACATGAAGACTTAAACTAAAAATAGTGGTGAATGTTACCATATGCAAAACATTTAGTAATTAGGGTGTTAATTACATTTATATAAAAGCAATTAAAATTTAACAAAACAGCAGGAAAAAAGAAGAAAGTAAAATCAAAGCCCTTACAGTAAATATTTAGATTTTTTTCAGTTGATTCTCTCTAGCTAATAAAAGGAGTTCTGCTTCAGGTATTATATAATGTTTCCTATATCAGTAAATTACTGGGGCATTAGTAGCTCATGATCAACAAGGGAAACTGGTCCCTATAGAATTAACCACAGTAGATAGTAAATTTCATTTTCATATCGGTGTTATAAATAAATTATTAGGAAAGAATAAAAATAAGAATGACTAATTCCTATTTTATTTAGTTCCTACAATGAACAAATTTATAAATATGAAGCATAACCCTGTGTTATATTAAGGTATCAGAAGTTGAATTCTTACATATAAACACATATGTGAACACAGGTGCCTAAAAATATGGATACAGGTATATTCATTAGCAACTATGTATATACTTAGTTATCATTAACAACATTATGTGAAATAACTCTCTTATTTTAATTTGGGCTGTCCACAGACATTTTTTAGGTTAAAAGCACTTTGTTTCAATATTAAATGTACACTTTTAAAAATAAAGATACATTTTCCTATGGAAACTATCTGGTAAAGTGAGCTGAGGATCCTCAGCTAACTCACAAATTCTATTAAAACCATAGTGATGGGGAAGCGGGTCAATTGGGGGGAAAGGAGGCTTAGGTAAAACTTTAGACAATTTAAAAAAAAACATAGTGAATTTAACTATAACACTAATGGCACTTTGAAACCTGAGAGCTTGAAGGAAGAGACTGGCAAGGCAAAAATAATGAAAAGAAAAATGTTCCCTTTTCTTTTTACAACAGAGCTGCCTTAAAAATATTTTGGAAAACCCATTGCTTCTTTGCTACCATTACTTATTGCTACCTCCTTTAACTCCCAGTAACCTTTGATTTTTGTAACCTTACTGAAACACCCTTGATCATGAAATATGATAGTTAATAGAAAAACCTTACATCTATATCAATTAGGATTTGGTTTGGCTGCATATATTAGGGAAAAGAAAAACAAACAAACAGTAGTTTAAGCAAGGCAAATGTAAGGTACATAGTCCAGAGTTCGCCAGTGGTTCTGTCGTTAATAGGGACTCGGGCATTCTTTCTAATTTCTTTTCCACGACCCAGAACATGTTTTCTGTCCTTAAAGTTACCTTACATTCCAAGATAACTCCTGGAGCTCTAGCCAACATGTTTGTATTCCAGGCAGCAAAAGGGAAAAGCAGGGAAGGACAAAAAAGGTCTCACCAAGATGAGTCTTTCCTTTAAAAGAGTTCTCTGCCTTACATCTTATTGGCTAAAACCGAGTCACATGGAAAACCTGACTGCAAAGACTGTTGGAAAATACAGCTTTAGCTGCATCTTTTATCACACCCAAGGAAATTGGTCTGTTGCTGAGGATAAAAGGGAGAAAATATGTTGGCAAGCAATTAGTAATCTCTGCCACATTCCTCAAATATCTAATGCTCCAGGGTACTTAACTCCTTTCCTACTCACAATAAAGCTATCTCAATTTTATTCTTAAAATCTAATTTCTAGTTCACTGGTTCTCAACTTCAGCTGCAAATTTAGAAGCACTTAAAGTGCCTTTAAAAAGTTCTGATGCCCAGGCCAACCAAATCAGAAACAATGTCAGTGAGAATCAGGCCACAATGTTTCAAAACAGTATCTCCTGGTGATCCTATTGTTCAGCCAAGTTCAAGAGCTACCATCCCAAAGAAATTTTAAAAGAAGGCATGTAACCCAAATGATACCAAATTTTGTCACTTTTTCTGTTGTGTAAAACAGTGACATTAAAAACAAACAAACAAGCAAACCCTGCAAGCCAGGAGTGGAGAATAATCTGGGGAGTGTTAGCACATGTCATAGAGACCACTGTTTGCCTTAGGAATCAGTTTTCCTCTACTACATGCTTTTTTTTTTTTAAACATATATTGTCTTCTATAGCATTGAAATCATATGATTCTCTGAAAATCCTGATTGTTGTATACAGTGGATTCAAGGACAGCATAGATTGATCCAATGTTGGTCATCCTTGATGACTTTTCTCTCATATATCCCCACATCAATTTAAATACACTATATTGCTTCAAATAACTCTCAAATCTGCCCACACCTTTATCTTATCCAAAATTCACACAGCAACCAAAGAGATGTTTAAAACATACACAAATCTGACTGCATCATTTCCTCTACTCTACGTATATCCCTCCAATGACTTCCCCTTGATCTAGGACTCTGCCTGGCAAGAATCCTTCCCACCCACCTCCCAGCCTTATCTTAGGCCCATCATCACACTCTTGCTTCCAATGCCTCCTGGCTCTTTCTTTACAAGCAACCTGTTTGCCAAACCTACTGAATTCCCAAACTCAGCCAAACCAAAACTTTCATCTGCTAATTCCTGCTGAGGAAAGACATCATTGCTCCCACAGACTGGGTCAAGATTCATACTGTACTTCTTCAGGGCCCTTATGACAGTTGGAATTCTTTGGAATCATCCACCCATCCCCTGATTATTTTTTATGAAGGCAGGAAACATGTTCATGTTCTTCATCATTTTGTTTTCATATCCTAGAACAGCACAGAATATGTATTAATAATATGAAGATAAATATTTTTTATATTTTATTGATTTTTACAGAGAGGAAGGGAGAGGGATAGAGAGTTAGAAACATGGATGAGAGAGGAACATCCATCAGCTGCCTATTGCACACCCCCTACTGGGGATGGGCCCAACACCAAGGTACATGCCCTTGACCGGAATTGAACCTAGGACCCTTCAGTCCACGGGCTGACTCTCTCTCCACTGAGCCAAACCAGTTAGGGCTGAAGATAAATATTTTAGGCATGAATCTATGAAGAAATGAGTAGCATGGGATTCTGAGATTGGCAGGGTAGATTAGAGACCAAGTGAAAGGCTCATCAGCAGCGGCTCATAACTTAGTCACAGCTGGCCCAAGTAAAGGTTTCCTCCTTCTGTTTCAATATCTGTCTGTGTCTCTGCAGGTTGTGAGTTGATCCCAGTACAGTACCTTCGCTGGGGTGACCCCGAGCCCATCGCAGCTGTGGTGTTTGCCTGCCTCGGCCTGCTGGCCACGCTGTTTGTCACCGCGGTCTTCATCATTTACCGCGACACCCCCGTGGTGAAGTCCTCCAGCAGGGAGCTCTGCTACATCATCCTCGCTGGCATCTGCCTGGGCTACTTATGCACCTTCTGCCTCATCGCCAAGCCCAAGCAGATTTACTGCTACCTTCAGAGAATCGGCATCGGGCTCTCCCCGGCCATGAGCTACTCCGCCCTGGTCACCAAGACCAACCGCATTGCCAGGATCCTGGCTGGCAGCAAGAAGAAGATCTGCACCAAGAAGCCCCGGTTCATGAGTGCCTGCGCCCAGCTGGTGATCGCTTTCATTCTCATCTGCATCCAGCTGGGCATCATCGTCGCCCTCTTCATAATGGAGCCCCCCGACATCATGCACGACTACCCGAGCATCCGGGAGGTCTACCTGATTTGCAACACCACCAACCTCGGGGTCGTCACTCCCCTCGGGTACAACGGGCTGCTGATCTTGAGCTGCACCTTCTACGCTTTCAAGACCAGAAATGTTCCGGCGAACTTCAACGAGGCCAAGTACATCGCCTTCACCATGTACACCACCTGCATCATCTGGCTGGCCTTCGTGCCCATCTACTTCGGCAGCAACTACAAGATCATCACCATGTGCTTCTCCGTCAGCCTCAGTGCCACCGTGGCGCTGGGCTGCATGTTCGTGCCCAAGGTGTACATCATCCTGGCCAAGCCCGAGAGGAACGTGCGCAGCGCCTTCACCACGTCCACCGTGGTGCGCATGCACGTGGGGGATGGCAAGTCCTCCTCCGCCGCCAGCAGGTCCAGCAGCCTCGTCAACCTGTGGAAGAGGAGAGGCTCCTCGGGGGAAACCCTAAGGTAAACGCTGTGGGGACCTGGTGGGCACGGGTCTCTCTGAAGCAGGGGCATTGCCTTCCCTGGGTCTTTTCAATGGAAAATGCTTGAGTGAATGAAGGTATTAGGGAGCAGGGGGTTGGGAAAGGGACTGTGGACAGGTTTGCTGAGTCGTTCTTGTGGGGTTTAATTGGATGTGGACCCAGGGACTCAGGCCAAGGCAGAAACATCGAAGTGGAGGCCCCTGATAAAGCAAAGAGTTACCGCAAAAGGGGATGAGGTCAAGAGGGTGGAGAAAGCTGAAACCGGTTTGGCTCAGTGGACAGAGCATCGGTCTGCGGACTGAAAGGTCCCAGGTTCAATTCCGGTCAAGGGCATGTACCTTGGTTGCGGGCACATGCCCAGTGGGGTGTATGCAAGAGGCAGCTGACCGATGATTCTCTCTCATCGATGTTTCTATCTCTCTATCCCTCTCTCTTCTTCTCTGTAAAAAATATCAATAAAAATATATATTTAAAAAAAAAAAAAGAGGGCAGAGAGAGCACAGTTAAGTCATTGAGCCACGACAAGGCCCTCCAGGCCCTGAGGGGACAGAGATGCGTGGTACACGAAATTCTAGTTCACCAGAAAAGATTGTGGAAAAATATTAACAAATAAGATGATGCTGAGAACAGAATACAGAGAGCCTCACACATCCGACCGCACTTGCACATGCCCAGTGCATAGAGGCATGAGAATATAAGAATGTATATTCTAGTTCTTAATGGAAAACTTGAACTCTTTGAGAAATGCCTAAGTAAATGAAAGAGACAAGAGAATAAAGTAGCTTTGAATGTAATCTTTCTAAACAGCCATCCAGTCTCCCCCTTTCTCTGTCTCACAGTCTCATCCCATCTACCCCACCAAGTTCAGTACCACAGGTTTTGCTACTGGGCAGTTGCCATCTGAAAAGAATCTGTTGTCAACAGTCAATGGTTTCATTGTGAGGGACTACCTTATATGATAAATGCCCTCTAAGGTACTTCAAAAGGCAATGAGAACACCTTATCAGTGAAAAGTGTGAAGGTGTTAAAAAGGCTATTTGGTTGGGAATAAGGATCTCCTCCTCTCTTTAAGAAGTACATAATTTGATGGGAAAATAAAATAAAAGGGGAAGGAAAGTGAGAAGGAAGGCAGATGGAAAACATGCCAGCAGGTTTGAGATATGGAAGGCCTTCTGTGTATAGAACATGACATCTGCAGGATTTATTGAAGAAATAAAAGACATAGTTATCCCTGAGGTTTACAATTTAGTTGACTACCTTGCACCAGTGCATGGAAAGATATGGGAGGCACACAGGAATTAGAAAAGAATTGAAAGTGGTAAGGATACATGTTAATAATGCATCCTTTTGATGTACAAAAGAGCTACACAGGACATCATCTGCTAACTCTACAGAGATTTGACAAGTTTCCTAAAATCTAGATAAATAAATGCAAGATAAATGGCTGTATAGTATTGCTTTCAACATTTTTTTTAACTATCATTTTAGCCTACCTAAAAAGTTCTATTTTCTATAAACTCTAATCCCTCAAAGCCTGAGTTGTGGTAATGGTAAAGATTCTGTGTCTGCTGGGGATGGAAAAGGACTCACAAGATACTTAGAGTTATCCACATGGCCCAATTCGTTTGCATTATTAATATGCACCCTTGCCACTTTCAGTTCTTTTCTAATTCCTGTATGCCTCTTGTGTATTTCCATCCAACTTATGCAAGGTAGTCAACTAAATTGTAAACCTCAGGGATAACTATGTCTTCTATTTCTTCAATAAATCCTGGATATGTCATGTTCTGTACACAGAAGGCCTTCCATATCTCAAATCTGCTGGCATGTTTTCCATCTGCCTTCCTGACTTCTCTCTAAAATATTCATTTTCAGAAAGTTTTGCAAGATCAGCCTTTTATTTTATCTAAAAAAATTATTTTGTCAAACTTAATTTATCAGCCTTACATTAAACTCTTTCTGTAAATAAGTCTCTCTGGTGTCCTGATAGAGAAAACAGTTTGCTACAGGGGGGAAAATGTGAGTCTGTGCCTAAGTACCCCCAAAACTCTCTAGGGTGGGCTCCTTAGAGAGACAGCATGGAGCAGTGGTGAAGAGCACTGGCTTTACAGCCAGGTTCTCCTGAGTTTGAGTTGAGACTTAATCTTTTCATCCTCCAAATTCAGATCATATCACCTACTTCTAAAATTGTACAGAGAGAAAGGAATAATGTGGGTAAAGTCCAAGCACACAGTCGATACTCCACTAAAGGTAGCAGGATGCAAACTAGACAGCGCTGGGATTGAATCCTGGCAGCATCACTTGCTAGCTGTGTGACATAACTGTAGGCCAATCACTTAACTTCTCTATGCCTCAGTCTCTTCCTCTGATAAATGGGGATGATGAAATACATACTTCATCCAGAAGTTGTGAGACTAAATGGGTTCCTATGTGTAAAGTGGATGCCATACCTGCTCCCCCTTTTAAACTACAAGCCTAAGAGATAAATTAGATCCAAACTAAAATTCCTTCTTCTGTGCCTCACATGAGCTCTCAAATTAAGTATTTCTTCTTTGTGATGCAAACTCAGATGTTCATAACCCTAGCATGATAATTATCACATTGTGGAATATGACTGGTTATGAATGAATTTACCTCCCTGTTTAGTTTATGGTTTTATAAAGGCCAATGTGAATTGCATTTCCTCTCACATTGGAGCTTAAATAATGGCAAACTAGTGAACTTGGGTACTTCTAATATTTTCACATTTTATTCTAAATTACCCCCATTACTTAAGCTTCTCTTGTTTGAATTCTGCACTATGTCAGTGTGCCAACTTATTGGGACTCAGGGTACTATGTAAATTTGAGCAAAGTACTTCAGTTCATTTATCCCACTATAAAATGGTAGATCAGTACTCCTGTTGTGAGGAGTAAATGAAACGACATGTGTTAAATTCTTAGTATCAGCACATAGAAAGTACTCAATAAATGGCAGATAACCCTTTTAGAAATATATTCAGTTGCAGGAAAGATTAAGCCAGATTTTCAGAGACCTATGTGATTTCTTTGGTTTCATTTTCCTCATATCACAAGAAATATGCAGGTAAACTGTTTCTAGTATTCCTCCGAGGCTCAGTGATTACAGGGCTAACATCTCTCCTATTCTATTCACCTTCTGTTAAAGGTTGCATGTTGGCTGTCATGGCTCTATGCATTGCATCCTTTTGTTAGGGGAAAAAAGTCTTCTTAGAGTCCCATAAAAATTGCCTTTATGTTTCATGGACAAAATCATCTGATATAGCTATCCCAAGCTGCATGAATATAAGAAAGTTGTGCTTTTAGCTTTTATATCATCCATAATGGAAACTGAAAGGGAAAAGGGAATAGTGTTAAGTGCTATGGATAAACCAGTAAACAGTGTCTACCATGAGAAGTGGCAGTATGTAATAGTAATAGTGGCGGTAGTAATAGAATTGTCTCGTGGTCACAAAATATTGAAAGTAGAAGCAATAATCATTCCCATTTTTCAGATGAGGAGTTGGAGGTCCAGCATGGTTAGCAGACTTACCCATAGACTAGTCAGTTATGCAGCTCTTTTTATATCAGGCCTCAGCTTTTCGGCATTTGAGCTGAACATTTCCCAGAATGTATTCTCCGGAAAGCTATTCTCACAAACTACCCCATAAAAACAAACAAACAAAAACAAACAAATAAAACAAAACAAAACCTTATTTGGTTAAACAAATTTAAAAAAATAAAAACTCTGACTAATCTACCTTTTTTATTGGAAATAAACACTGAGAAGTCTTGAAGTGTGGAAACTAATCAGTCATCTATTAATTTTTCCCCCCATTCTTTTCCCTAGCTTTGGAACACAGGACTATTTTTTTTTTCAAGTAACTCTATTAACATTCCAGAGAATTGATACTAAAATGGAGACTCACTTGAAAAAAAAAAAAAAATCATCAGAGCTGAAAAAAAATAGTAGACCTGTTCCTGAGGCCTGACTTATAAATCCAATCTGCACTGAGAAGGCTAGCAGAAAGAGCCAATTTCTACCTCCGGTCATGGAGATCACTTCTGTTTTCTGAACACCTCAGGGAAGAATAGAACTAATTCCAGCAGATCTAGCAGTTTACGGGGAAGTTAAATAGGTTCACCCAAGAACAGACAAAAGAAAAATAGCCAGAGTCAGTCATTCAATTCGCTGAAATAGCAATGGGAGATTTTTATTTAAAAGGCAGTGAGTCAGGAGAGATTTTTTTAATATAGAAACATACCATTTATGCCATCAATGTATAGAGGTCCCTGTGATTAACAGTTTGGTTCTAGGCACTAATTTCCAGCACATGTGGTGCGGCATCAAATCCTTGTCACGCAGTTAATGCCAAGTTTCTACTTAAGGCCTTCACTTCGGCTGCAGATTGACAAACACAAAACCAGCTCTGGCCTAAAGAAAGCACTGAATTTGATGAGTCAGAAATTCTGCTCTACAAAATTCAGAATTTCCAGGGTTGTGGGGCTGAGGTCCTTAGTGGGCCTTTCATAGCTAAATAATAACAGAGGCATATAATTCTGCATCAGAAATTTTCTCAGAAGGTAAAACCCTCCCCTAGGAATTCCGGTGGCAGAAACATTAGTGTTGCCTCCACCTTAATTTTAGAAACTGCCATTTGCCACTTTTGTTTTAATTAACTAATTAACTTTGCTTTAATTAACATTGTCACGAGGGCCCACTTAGGCTGTCTGCTCAAGCAACTGCTGGTCCTTTCATATCCATAGCCCAGATTATAATTTGCCTGAAAAATTGTTTCTCTTGTGTGAATTCCAACATAACCCAACTCTGATCAGAGCTTTGATGATTTCCAATTGCTTAGATCTCATTAGGGGGTTATTAGTCTGTGTGAAGTGATGTTCCTGCCATTTCTCCCTCTTTGGAGCTTTCTGCCTCTTCCTACTGTCTCTTCGGATCCTTTCTGTTTCCAAGGCCCATGTGCCT